GATCCAATATATTACTGTCTCTGGTGGGACATGTGATGTGCTGTCTGTATTTTGGCAGTTCACGGGAGAGATTTGCTTTATTAAAGTCCCCAAGAATGATTAAAACTGAGTCTGGGTGTTGTTGTTCTGTCTCTGTGATCTGATCAGCAAGTTTCTGTAAAGCTGAGCTCACGTGCGCTTGCGGAGGAATGTAAACACTGACAAGAATGAACGAGCAAAACTCCTGCGGCAAGTAGAAAGGCTTACAGTTAATGAAAAGCGCTTCTAGATCTGAACAGAACATCTTCTTTAACACGGTTACATCTGTACACCACCTTTCGTTGATGTAAAAGCATGTCCCGCCGCCGCGTGATTTCCCTGTTGATTCTGCATGGCGATCCGCTCTAAACAGCTGAAAGCCCGGCAGACTCAACACGCAGTCCGGTATGGCGTCATTCAGCCAGGTTTCCGTGAAACACAGAGCAGCAGAGTGTGAGAAATCCTTATTTGTCGGGGAGAGCAGAAGGAGTTCGCCTGTTTTGTTGGGTAGAGAGGGGAGGTTCAGCAGATGGATGCTAGGCAACGGCGTTCGAAATCCGCACTGCCTGAGCTTCACGAGGGCGCCGGTGTAGTGCCGAAATTTGCACCCTGCCAGAATAATATATTCAACACCGGCTCGCTTCCCCCGTAAATAAATAAATGAATGAATAAATAAATAATCTCATGAACAATTCACTAAAACAACTTCTCTACAATAACTGAATAAAAACAAATACCTAATTGTAGAGGCCACGCCCACAACACCACTTAGAAACCTATCTTTAACTAGCTGATGTAAGAAGTGTATGTAAGTTTATGCCACACAGCCAGGGGCGTGCTAAGGGGAGAAAGTTAGGACAATTCTAAGGGCCCACACACTTTTGGGGCCCCCAGAGATCTGTTTTATTAGTAGTAACAGTAGTAGTAGTAATGTAATAAAAATATTATTAATATATTATATTAATTATATATAAAATAATATATTATATTAAATTAATTATATTATATTATATTAATGTATCTACCAAAGAGTTACATGTGCATAAGTAGCTAGCAAACAAGGAATACAGCTGTTAAGCTAATAGTCACATTTAGCTGAGTAAGATCATGATTGAGAAAAGGTGGATACTGCTAGAAATGCTGCAATGGGGTATCCTATTTATTATTTTAAGATTTTTTATTTTTTTGCCCCAGTGAAGCATTTCTATTAATATAGCTGATTAAGTAGTCAAACTCATTCCATATCAGCAGAATAGTGTGGTACTACAGAAAGTCTATGTCCATAAAACAGGTTCTGAATGAATTATGTTACTGATACCTAATGGTCAAAAGCAATAG